ACACCGACTATGAAATCTACTCGCATTACGGTAGATGCATTACGATTTTACCGAATAGCCGCAGTTGTGAAGTGGCCAAGTACCTACCTGTACTTCGAGAAGAAGTGTTTTAAAACGGTGAACACCGCGTTTAAATTCGCTTTAATCACATGTACTTCTATAGATCAGATACTGTACGTACAGAACTTGCAGCTTAAAAACGCCTGTCCGTGAGGACATACATACTGTACAATACATACGCCGGTCTGAGGTCACCGTATATTACTGTGCATTTCAAAGGTCAATAAAATTGTAAACATAATACATTTTAGTGGCGAAACACTTTAATGTACCTTTGGTGCTGGTGCATAAGCTCAACTGCCATATATTAGGGTAGCAGTTAGCAGTTACAACCTGTAACGAACCCTGTCACAAACATATACTATATAACGGTGCGCCCATAGTTATATGGTTATATAAATATAATTAATGGATATGCCGTATTGCACCAATTTCGTCCGCAGAAACTTCCGCTTTCGCGCACTCCGAAACGCTGTTTTGTATTAGTCATATCATCCGACATGATCAAAATTAATTATGGCTGCGAAAGCACTGGCTTGAAAATCCTGACACCGGGCACGCGCGGTTTTAGTGTGGGCACTGGGCAGAATCAAATTAATAGCCACCATTTAATTGGCATAGGAATTTCAATTACCTAAATGAGCAAAACATTTTGAAGTATTGTGGTGCCAAAACACTGAGTTATTTGATCACACAAATAATCTACAGACGAATCGGAACCAAAAACAGTTTCAAGGAATTTTTTTAAATTCTAAAATTAATGGAATTTCAACACTTTCAGAAGTCGTTTTAAAATTTTAGAAAAGTTATGTTTCTTCCAAGTTGACTATGCAGCTTTGTACTTAACTGAATTTTTTTTTATTTTTAAACAAAATAACGAAGTGTATTTTTTATTCCGATAATTTGAGCATGATCTGTACAGAGTACTAATCCTTCTTCTTTCAGATGGTCTCACTGCATCTCGTACTACATTTTCGAGCTACAAAAATCCGTAAGGTTCACTACGTCAGTCTGTTACTGGCTTATTGTGTACTCGTATCGGTTCTGTACTTCCTACTCGTACACCTTCAGCATGGTTAGCATACTGTACACGTTAAATTTTCCGGGTGTTTTGACTTGTATCAACAGTATCCCACCGTATCTCTGCAGTATATTTATTTTTAGTGTGGTTGTTCTTTTTGACCGGCGCATTCCACGGTATCCTCACGCGTACGGTACCCTTCGTGTACCCTCCACGTATCAAGTTAATTTTCTTAAATTTCCTTAGGTAAGATTTCCTTTCTTAGATTTCGGAGGTTTTCTCAGGCTTATTAGCTTTCTTAGGGCTTCCAGGGTTTCTTAGTAGGATTCATGTGGAATACGTAAAGGATACTGCAGAGATACGGTTGGATAGGGCAATGAACAAAAAGGAGTCGGGATACTGCGGATACATACACGTAAAAAATCTTGCCTTGAAAAATTTGACATGTACAAAATCGCCCATATCTAATTCCTTGCTTTTATACATGAAGTACAGTACTTATGAGCCTTTAGAATTCGGGCTACGACTCACAAGCCGTCTCGACTCGCCGGCAGAATTCCTAGTTTAAACTGGCAATGCAGTAACGTTCTTGCCAATTTTTGATTTCGTAGGATGATGCAGACATTTTAAGAAGCGCGTTCGTCTTCCTGACAACTGCAGATGTTGGGATCACCTCTTCGGACTGGTAAAACAAACTAATGAAGCCTCCTCAGTTATGACAATTTGTATACTAAATACATACTAGTCAGAGTGACCTTTGGATTACCCAGTCTCGAAGACCAGGAGCACGAATGGGTCGGCATTAAATAAATTTCAAATTTCTAGGACACTGCTCCTTTTCAACCTGTCCCACCTCATCAGCGTCCTCTTCCCACTGAAAAGCCGGATGATCTTGACATCGAGCCGAATAAGAACTGCCATTGTAGTACTTATGGTGCTGGCGGTTACGACATGGCTCGTCGACTACATCAAAGCCTTCTCGTTGTCAGACAACTACGCGCTTCGACTGCATGGCCGATGGTTAATGGAATGGAGCACCGTTCATGCGAAAGGAACGGTGCGGAAAATGTGACCAAAAGGTCACGCGGGCTTATAACGATATATCAAAGATATCGAATACTCTTCTGTGTCAAAGTTAATTTATGTTTGCAGTCATTCGTCATCGTCTTCACGTTCTTCGCGATCCTTGCATCGAACCTCGTGGTCATCTTGTTCTTGCTGTGCCGGTACAAAGCCCCGCCGAGTTCGGACTACCGTTTCGACATGCGTTCATCGACGTGGAAACTTCGGACGTTCAACTTATCCAAATCAAATTCCACCGGTTCCTCACAAATTTTACCGTCGAAGGTCGCCACAACCTGCAAAAGCGTTAATCCACCAAAGCGTCGCACTCGGCACGGAGCGGCCGTACGCATGCTGGTCATGTCCAGCTGTATGAATGCCATACTGAAAGCGCCGCTGGTCTTGTACGAGATCCTGGAGAACTTGTGCGCGTACCGGGTACCGGATTCGTCAATGGACATGTTTTACGCGATAAGAATTCATTCGTATTCGGCGAATTATTCTCTGGGCTTCTTCGTCTACTGTCTGATCAATCCGGATTATGGGAGAAAAGCCTGGAAAATCGTGGCCGGGTGTTGTCGAACGAAAGCAGGAGTGCACGTGCAGCATCGCCATCTAACGCAACAGACTTCGACAAGTACTTTCGTTTGAGCGATCGTTGATCATCTTCACTGTGTAACTTTCTGGCGATTTTCATAAGTTTATTAAGTTATAAATTTCATCGGCCAGTGTTTGTCATGTTAATCTGCTAAGATATATCGCATTGCTTATCCTTTTGTCGCAAATATTTCCAAAAGCGCAGTTTTCCTCGGATGTAAATCAGAACATCATGTTTTCCTGGCATCATGAACATCATGGTCTGAAGGCACGCTGCCGCCTTCTGATACCGGATTTTGGTGCAGTTAATACAAGCCGCACATGGATGAATGTTGGCATACAATTATTTTTAACTACACTACTGTAGTTTGGATTTCAGGACCCGAGTCCGATTGTAAAACACAGTTCGCTGATGCATAAGTAAATTCTGCATATCAGATTTCAATAAAAAGCAGTTGTAGAATTTTCTTAATGCTGCGGGCGGCGTTCAGCTGATGACGTTCATGTTCTTCATGCACTTGCGTTTTGCGTAGATCAATACAATTCAACATCTGGACAGTCAGACCGTTATTCTACAATTTCACTTCTACTATGGTACATACTGTAGCACGGAAGTGGTGCCGAATGCAGCTGCCGTTAGTTTTGTGCAGAAATTTCTGAAAATGCTCCTTCCTGTGCTGCAGCCTGCAGACATGAAGTAACCAAACAGAAATATTGTACTTATTTTCCACCTTGTTCCAGCAAAAGAAGCGCTGTCCTGCCGATGGTCAAGTGCGGGGATCGTTAACTGTCGACAAAATTTCTAGTTTTTTTAAGCGATATATTTCCGGTATGCGACTAATTTCCGCTTGTTATTTATTTATTTCAGAAGATCTGACGCACTTTTACGTACATAACTGTGAGTGCACTGGTATTGTTATCCGCGCAACTGTGCAATTATTAGAAAAAAAACAAAAAGGCACAACGTTCTTTCAAAAAAGTTAGCTAACTAAACACCCCTATAAGTAACTTTAAAGTGTATGCACAAGATAGGAATTTCTTTAGGTATACGAGTAATCTCCAGTCCTGGTTTGGTTGGTCTCTGCCATGCAGGCCGACGCCGCAGCAGTTTTCAACACTTCCGAGTAAGAACGTAATCGAGAGTTTTCTACGTAGAATGGTCGCAGACGAAAGATTAGGCATTTAAAGCGTCGGTTGTTAAGCTGAATCAAACCAACACAATTATCAAAACACAATCTTAATTAAAGCTATATGCACGAGTAAAAAGCAAGTGCTTTTATTCTGTTGTTTTTACGCATCGGTATAGTTAGCCAACAGGCCGGAAAGTCGTCTAGTACTAACCATCCAAGCTATAACGCCGGCTGAGATGTCCAGTAAACTCGGCACAATTATTAAAAAGTCCTTTATTAAATACATTTGCGTCAATAATTAACCAAATATAAATAATATCGAACACTTCTATAGTTATCTAACAGGGCAAAAAGCAGTCTTTTTAAAGTGCAAAAAGTCTACAACACCCGGTGTTCCCAAGCGGTCACCCATCCAAGTACTAACCGGGCCCGACGTAGGTTATCTTCCGAGATCGAACGGGATCGGGAGTTTTCTACGTGGTATGGTCGTAGACGAATGCTTAGGTATTTATAACGCCGTTAGTGATGCCGAATAAACCCGGCATGTTTAATGAAAATTCCATTAATTAAATACATTTGTGTGAATAATTAATAAAATATAAATAAAGTAAGTATAGTTAGCTAACAGACATAAAAGCCGTCTATTTAAAATAGCAAAAAAGTCTACAACACCCGGTGTTCCCAAGCGGTCACCCATCCAAGTACTAACCGGGCCCGACGTAGGTTATCTTCCGAGATCGAACGGGATCGGGAGTTTTCTACGTGGTATGGTCGTAGACAAATGCTGTCAAATCAGCAACGCCGGACTTGGTAATAATAAGGATTAATCTTTCACCGTTTAGTCGTAATAACAGATTAGACCAGTTACCTACTCAAAAAAAACCGAAATTATATAACCCAAACACGATTTCTGGCTTATTTGGTGCTTCAGATGTCGTTCCGAGTAGTATACACAAACCGATTCCATTTCCATTTCTACGAGCCAGTTCGTATTACCATGTCCGCTGAACATACGTACTGTCCTGATTCCATTGAGCCAAATGCCAATCAGTGGAATGCCCAGTGGCAATGGAAGCGCACCTTCCTCCGTACTCACGTCGGAATTATTTTTGGCAGGCAGGCAGGCAAATGATGATTTAATTTCCTCCTATCATTTTCAGTCAATCGCGCGATCCACCGAGCAATATTCCACAGGCATGCCACACACGCCGTCGTCCACACTCCTTATTTTTTCTTCCTCTTATCATTTCATATTCATCCCCAACCTATCCTCCACACCATCCTTGTAATCCCCGGTTTGTACACCCCCACCACCCGATGCTAACGTGTCGCAACACGCAGCAGCACGCCCGCGAACCCCCTCCATCATCAGTCTCGGTGGTGTGCGTGCGCTGTCTGTCCATCCTCTTACGATGAACATTACCAAGCACGTCAATAATCTCCTGTGGCCCGAATGGTTCTGGCTCCCGGAGGGCTACAACTGGACGGTCTTCAGTTCCACCCGCGAGCAGAACTATCCCGATTTCCACTGGATCTACTTCCCCATTCCCCTGTCCCTGCTGGTCTTCGGTGTGCGGATTGTCTTTGAGAAGTATATTGTGGTACCATTATCTAGGGTGTCGATAGCCGTCGAAATGTGCGTGTTTGCGCAGGTATGTGTGCAGTCCCATCGGGCGCAGTATCGGGATCAGTGATCGGCGACCCCGGGCGCCTCTCGACAATCCTGTCCTGGAGGCTGTCTTCCGCAAGAAGAAACGCATACCCCCGACCGAGGTTATACAGGTGCGATCATTTTTCTTATCTTTTTTGTCGATTACTTATTTTTTTAAAAATTATATTGTCAAGTGAAACTAGAATTTTCGTAGCTTTTTATGTAAATTTATTTTTACGGTAAATTTAAATTTCGTGTAGTTTCTGTCAATCTTTTGATTTTTATAACTGGTTAAAAAACGCCGTAAAATTAAAATTGGATGCTATTGCGTAAAAAACACCGTGAAAATCAAATGTGTAAATTCTGCAAATTTCCCCAATAATATTCAGTTTGGCCCTCTGGTGCCTTTACATTTTATTTAATTATTTAATGTCCTGGATTATTTTTAAATTTTAATATACTACATTTGTTGCGTTTGAAAGGATTAATATCTCCTTTTTTGACTTGCCATTTGTGAGATATTTTTCATCGTATAAAGGTTTTTCTTAGCCAATTATTTCGCTCCTTTATTTTACCTTTTTCATAATTATTTTTTTATGTAGGCACGATGCATTTGGTTTTTTCGTTTAACCCTATCTGAAAAATAGACCAGATTTTCAAACTGTTTTGTATTTTATAGACAATTTGGCATTATCACATTTTTATGTATTTATAACTTGTATTAATCTAGGCAGTCAGACGAAAATTTAATCGGATTTTTCATGGATATTTGAATTTTATTGCTGGTCATAAAATCAGTTTATTATCCGTTTGTTTTTGATTCTGATGGTGTGTTTAATTTATTCCGATGTGTTCCGGTGCAGGATTTAAGCAAGCGTGTGGATTTAACATCGCGTCAAGTGGAACGCTGGTTTCGCCAGCGGAAGGCCGCGGACAGCCAGAGTCAGCTGCAAAAGTTCAACGAAACCGGGTTTGTCGATGCTTGCTTCCGTTTCAGTCCCTGTTTTCTACGTCATTCCGTGTTTTGGGCAGATGGAGGTTTTTCTACTACACATCCGCTATGCTGTACGGATTCTGGGTGCTGTACGATGTAAGAGGGAGGACTGAATTTGCTATGGCGAAAATAAGGGAAATTTCGGAGATTTATTGGTATTTTTATATAGAAACCGTGGTTTTACGAGACGAAACAGTGTTGGCTCGGGTATCCCTATCATCCCATCGATAACGATGTCTTCTGGTATTACATGATCCCCATGTCCTTCTATTGGTCGCTTCTCATCTCGCAGTTTTTTGATGTGAAGAGAAAGGTGAGCTGAACTAGGAAATACACTTAAAATGCATTATTTTGATTGATTTTTCATTTTTTTTATTTTTAAAGTCGTATTTTAATATCGATGGTCAACTAGCCGATTCCTGTCTGCCATTTCTAATGAGAATTTTTAATATAACCCTTGAGTTTAATAAAAAAAATTGAAACTTTGATTTCTAATCGAATACACGCTTGACTTTTCCAAATTATCTTAGCAGATTTTTTTACTTCTTTTATTGATGAATTTTTTAATAAATTTCCCATCATAGTGTAATATTTGCTGTATTTATTTTTTGAGTTAAATTTTTTCTTGCTTTTTATTTTGATTAATTTATTAACGAGTTTCTCATCATGGTGTGATATTTGATCTATTTATTTGTTAATTATGCAATTCGGCTGCGTTAAGCGATTCTTTTGTCGTTGGTTTCTGGTTTGTCGGTTAGATTTGTGATTAGTTGTGAAGCGCATGAATGGGGTCGGCGTAAGCGTGAACATTTGCGCAAGAGATTAGATAAACTGACGGGCGGGTGTGTTGTCAACTGCTTGTGGCCGTATTAACAGGATTTTTGGCAAATGTTCGCCCACCACGTAACCACCATCCTGCTGCTGGTGCTGTCCTGGGTGGACAATCTGACGCGGGTGGGCACCCTCGTGCTTCTCATCCACGATGTGGCTGACGTCTTCCTGGAAGTAAGTCGCTCCCTAATCACTGTGAATAATTTTACAATAATTAAAAAAATATTTTCTAAATCGGCAGTAAAATGATTGACGTTTTGAAATAACTTTATCTCTTACGGTTTCATGAATGTCGCTGCATGTTGCTTATCATTTCACGCAGCCACTGCACTACAATAACATTATGTTAATCCTCTGTATAAAAGTAAACTGATGATGTCGATTTGTTTCTGTTATTAGTGTTAATTATTTAATTTACTTTTTTAATTATTTTTGTAAATGAAGATTCAGTTTGTGATATGTTGCCGTATCTTCTGAGAAAACTGGGACGTTTAAAAATCACAATTTGGCCAATGTGATTGTGTTGAATAAGTGAAAAGTTTGTTTTGCGTACGGCTACACTATTATTTTAATTACGGCCTTAATATGCGATTTATTGTTATTTATATTTTTTTAAATAACGCATATTAGAATTTATTTCAGAATATTTGGTTCCGTTCTTTTCTGTTTCTTGTTCAGTTGTAAATGTATTGGCTGAATTAGGCCTGCGTGCGTTATGAGTGAAGAAACGGAAAAATGTAATGTTGCTTGTGTGTTGGGCAGGCTGCCAAATTGGCTCGTTACGCCAATCGGCCGCGATTATGTGATGCCTTGTTCGGCGTGTTCGCCATTGTCTGGATCGTCACGCGCCTTGTTATTTATCCATACGCGTAAGCGCATACACTTGTCACCGGTCGCACTGCATTTTTCCCCGGCCGTTTTACGGTCAAACATATTTTATTTTCTCCATCGCTCGTTATCGCGAGATAATCGTTGTAAAAATTCAGAAAAATAAATGCGTTAGATAAAAGTTGAATTATTTCTATTTTCCAAAAAAAATCAGCCTCGTGATTTTGATAAGAATTCCTGACGATTTGAAGATGTGTAAATTTCAGTTAATTTAATTAAATTAGAATTCAGATTTTATATTTATTCCGGTAGTTAAAGGAAAAGAAAAAAAAAAGAAATCAAAAGGTGAAAATATTTCTTAAATAAATAAATCTGAGAGATTTTAACTAATGTAAATCGTTGCGAATTTTAATCTTATAATCATTTCGGTAATTATGGAAAAATAATTTGAAGTAAAAATTTTTCTTTATTCGGAAAAATCGAGATTGTGATGCACAAAAGAATTTCCGACGGTTTCGAAATACATTGATTTAGTTTTTTTATCAAAATGTTAATTTTTTTATTTATTTCGATTATTATAAAAATTGTGATTGATGTTGACGTAACCGAATTATCGAATCGAATTATCAGATTATCGAATTATCAGGATTATCGAATTATCAGAGGTTGATCGAAGGCAGTAAAATGGAAAATTAATGTGTAAAAAATTGACATTTCACGCGGGAAATTCGCTGCGGCTATGCTGGAAGTGATAATTTATTCTTTGGTCTGTCGGTGTATTATGTACTAATAGTGGACATGTATGTCTATTGGCAGGGTGGTGTATAGCGCCGCGTTCGAGGGCTGCCAGTCCGTGGGCTTCTGCTTCCCGGCGTACTGGGTGTTCAACAGTCTGCTGATTATGCTGCAAGTCCTGCACTTCATCTGGACCTGGTACATTCTCCGCATCGCCATCAACAGTCTCCGCACCGGCAAGGTACATTCCGCAACAAGAAATATTTCATTACAATTGCTTATTTATTGAACGATTTGCTTTAATACATATTATTAAAATATTTACTAAAATTAAGTACTTTTTTTCTGGACTGGTGCATTCTTGACAGACTTTCCCGGCACTTTGTTGTGCGCAGCATTTTAGGAAAAAATCAACGGTGCAGGCTGTTAATATTACTGCTTTTAATTATTATTAAAAATGTAAATTTATTTTACCATTGATTTAAAAATAATTATATCGACAAGCAGACAAATGCCTCGGTTTTGTTTGCTCGTTCTACAGGGAAACTTGTAGTGTAATGGCTGTGCGCGAATGCTCGCATGCCTTGTTTGGCAGTTACCCCCGGGCGGCGGTTGCATCACATTTGAACAGTAATTAATAATCGACAATTTTTTAATTTGAAAAAAGAATGCAAACTTTTTATTATTATTTGATTTTTTTATTAATGGAAGAAAAAATGCAGTGATTTTTATTCCGAAGGCTTACAACAAAGGATCTTTTAATTGCCAGACTTGACTGCAGATTTAGCTCGGGAAATTAAATTCTGAAACAAAAAGCCAACTCCGATTTTATTTGCATTATAAATCCTTTTTTATTTCCAATTTTCTTTATTGTGAATGAATTTTTTATTTACAGACTATTATGCAGCATATTTTATACAATATATTTTTCTGAAGATGTCGTACTCAGTCAGAAATATCAGGCAAAAAATGTAGAACGAAAACCCTGATGTAAAAAAAAAGGCAAGATTAATTGTGGCAATGGAAAAACATCAGGAAAAATGACAGGAAAAATCAGGAAAAAATGACAGGATGTTTTTATGATTTTTTGGTACGGTAGACGGACGACGCCCGCAGTGATACCGACGAGGATCTGGAGCTGGACGACGCCGGCGACACCACCGCGTCCCTGACCAACAATCACACCGCCGACAAGGGCGGTCGCCCGGCCCGCAACGGCGTGGTCAAGACGAAGGCGCGGCGGGAAGAATAAATAATAAATACAATCGGGAAAAACCGACGGCACTTGTGATTGAATTGGCCTGGAACGGCGTTGATCCGCGGCATGGATGTGTTTCAGTGTGGATAGATTTGTACTGTTTTCCCCCCATATTTAATCCATTTAACCTGGGCTTTGTGCGCGTTTCTCTGTTTGGGCTAAAAAGCGGTTTGTGTGCGTTGTTAATTGATTTCTTTCTCTTTTTACAGAGCGGTTTTATCTGGGCGATTTTTTAGCTGATTTTATTTTGATTAATTTGTTTATTTTTAACCTGTTTTCGGTATGTGGGTGTGTGTGGTGATTTTATGGAGATCTATTGGTTTTTAATTTTGGTTTTACTAATTTTATTCGTCGCCGTTTGGGATGCAGCGGAGTTCGGTTTATTTTACCTGTGTAACTGAATTTAATAAAAAAAATACACGATGAATGATAATAAAATGTCCGAATATTAAAACGTCAAATCTTGATCGCGAAAAAAAATTATTTATACTCGTACAAATTTTTAAATTTTTATTTGTCGCCGTTAGGATGAAGAACAAAACGCACGATAATAAACTGGATGTTAATTTATAATTTACTGGTTATTTACTGTACATCATTTACTGTACTTTTATTACAGTATTAATTATTATCCTGTTTCTAAAAGAAGATCAATAAAAAACACGGAAAAAACGGAAATCTACTTTTCAAGTCATGCAAATTTTTGGAAATATTTATTTGTATAAACTGTTTTATTTGCCGCCGTTGGAATGAAGAACGAAACGGAGATTTGCGGCAATTTCATGCATGTGTATTCTGTATAACGAAAATATAAAAGTAAAGAAAAATCACTGAATAATAACCAAAAAATCCGAACAGCAAACTGTGGAGTTTTGAAAATTAAAAACAAATAATTTATAGGAACGTTTTTACAAGCTCAGGAAACTAGAGACAGAATATTCCCGTTCAAGGAACAACCACCGGAACATGGTATCCCGTCAGCACCGTGAAATTCTGCACGGCGACACACCCACTTCCGGTGGACGCATTCCCCTGTTTGGCCGTCACCACGACGTTATACGTCGCATTCGGCACCGCACCATTCCAGTCCCAGTACTCCCGCACCCCGGCATACGTCCCCCGCCCCGCTCCCTCGCCCCCGGCGCACTCCACCCCGTACTCCGCCCCCGCCGCCCGGACGGAGGGCCTCCACTGCAGCCGGTAGTAATTCCGCGGTCCTAACAGCACCGGCGCCCGCGGGGGGCCGGCCGGCGGCTGGGAGATACTGCGGATCCCGCTGTGTACCGCGCCCTCCCCGTGCCGGTTGCGTACCCGCAGTTTGAAGGTGTAGCTGCCGCCCGGCTGGAGGCCCGTTAAAACGAACGGCGGGTGATTGGCCGACCACGTTTTATTGAACGTTTGACTGGAATTGGCTTGACTGGTGAAGCGGCCCTCGATGCTGGTGGTCTCAATCAGCGGATCACACCACCGGAAGTCAAAGGTCACGGAGGTGGCGGTCTGGTCGAGGACCGCGACGTTGCAGATACGCGCCAAGGGAAACGTCGGGGTCAGTCGACTACCGGTGAACACGGTGTAGGTCGACGCAGGACTCGATCCAAAAGCGTTTTCCGCGGTTATTTCCACCGTGTAATGGGTCTCCGGGAGGAGGCCGGTTAAGGTCACGGAGGTGGCCGAGCCTTGCGTGAATAATTCATTCCGCTCTAAAAAAATTATTTTTATTTTAAGGAAATATTTTTTTAATTAGTGCTCACCTACGGGAGAAGATACGGGGTAGTATAGAATTTTGTAACGGAAAATGGGACTTCCGTTGTCGACGGGAGCGGTCCAGAATAACCGGTAACTGACGTCCGCCGGGAACTGCATTTTCAGAAGCGGCCGGGTATTTTCACACGCTGTTAGATTAAATGCTCTTGCCATATTAAAAACTGCCAGAAAAGGGATTAACGAGAGAAAGGGAACTTCCGGATCCCGGATTTCCGGTAGGGAATTTACGGCAGAAATAAAAAGGGAATAAAAAGCGGATTTTTTAACCATTTCTGAATATAAACTGATTAAAATTTAAAAATGATTTTTCGAAATTTGGCAACCGCCCAACGTTGCTATTTCCGCTATCAACGCAGCATCGCTCATTCATCGCAGCGACCACGCCTTTATTCGGCGATCTATCCGAGACGTATCATTGCGACAACATTACGCAGAATTTCTGCTGCGGATCACAGCCAGTTAGGCGCTTGCACTGCATCTGCAGTAATACGTTCCCTGTACGAGCGCTGTGCCGTGCAGTACAACACACAGCGACTGGACTGCTCGCGCACAGTTGAAGCGTTATCAAGAACAAGCCCCACCCCGCATTTCAGCCAATCAGCCGCGTACGAGCACGTGCCAGCCGGATGCTCGGCGCTGCTGTCTGACATGCCAGCGCAGGCTGAGCGCATGCGCCGTCGACGGCAGCAGGAGTCTTCATTTCGCTGTGCAGGGTGCTTACAAGATTTCCACGTCACACAACGTCACGATAGTCGCCATAGATTCTGGCTCGCCCATCATCCGTGCTTTTCCCCAGCTGATTATCTCTCGCGTCGCGGCATATGTAAGTGACCACCGCATTGTTTGTGTTTTCTGACCATTCGTTCTTTATTTATTGCGTAATACGCCAGAATATTTCACGAAGATAATAATTGGCAGAAATTAGAATTTGTCAAGGACATTAATTTTTATTTTTGAATTTTGTTGGGGTCGTCGAACTGTATGCCTGATTTTTCAAAATCACACCGCGGCTTTGGTTGTCTCTGGGAATTAACTTTTTTCGGTATCTCTTAGTTTTTTTCGCCTATGGTTTTCAAATGTGTTGGTTATTTTAAGGATCTGCCGAAATAATGCGAAACTAAGAGCGACAAATTCTATCTGCAGTGAATTTTGTTGGTTTCTGTATTTCTCCGTGCAGATTCTTATGTTCATAACAGAGATAGTTCGCAAATGCGTCAGATTGTCATTTTGCACAAACACTGTTAAGCTTCAGCATGCACTTCCCTGTAGCCGGCTCTTTTCACAGTGTACCAGAGAACAGGGAAACTGCGACGCCAACCGCTTCTTCAGCTGATCAGCCTGAAACCGCATTTTCTCGGCTTTCTTGACGTCATACTGGCTTTTTTTGGTAACATTAATTAGGCTTCCGAACAGTAAAATACTGTATTTGAGGTCGTTACACAATGGCATGGTTTGATAATAAAACATGATTTCGGGCTTTATCGAATGGTGTCGTGCTGATACAGCAGCGCGCGACCATTTTGAACGCGGCTGCTTCGTTAGTTCGTTGCAAGGTGCAGCACAGTGTGCGTGTTATCGTGTAGTACACGGTACCGTGTTTAGACCGAAACTGCGCCATCAATCGATCAGTCACGAGTTCCTCCAGTGAAAGTGTCCGCTATGACGCATCAGAAATTGCATGATTCAGGAATAACGCTGAGGTTGTCGCGCCACCGTACATTAGTGGGTTACGACGTTATGTAACGCTGGCTTTGTCGCTGGATGATGTCAGAGCGAGCAGTAGCTTAACAATTTTCATGTTTGGACATGAAAGCGCAAACCTGAACTTCACTACTCGTATCCTAGTAGTTGCTTATAATTTTTTTCTTAAATTCAGTTGGTAATCGAAAGCTCCCAGTGAGCTCCCGAACACGCTCTAATTAAATACTATTTTCATTACCATTAATTTTAATAATAAGGAAAAATTAATGAAGTTACAAAATCTGCACACAAAGAAAGCGTTCTGTAAAGAAAGCGTAAAAAGCGTGTACCTGTAAAAAAAGCGTTCATCTTATTCAGATGACCTTTCGGTTGGTTTTCCCTGAACACAATCCACATCCCCAATTTTTCCCGCATCCCCCCACTGTCGGCATTGTGATCCGCTGGGCCAGAGAAGCATGACTGCATCCTCGCCACGCAGCGACGAGGATCTGGAATCAAGCAGCTCGGCCGTCTCCGAACCGTCCTCCCTGAACGACCACAAGGACCTCGTCTTCGCCCCTCCGCCGCACCATCCCCATCACCACCAACAGCAGCAGCATCGCGGCGCCCCCGGGGGCTCACGCGGCCGGTTAACCGGTAAACGGGGGGTCAGCGCACGCGGCCAGCACTCGCTGACCACCGGCGGCGAATTGGCCCAGCTCGCGCCTGGACAGACCGTCCAGTATCAGACGTCGAACGGTGAGTTAGATTCCCCGTTTTACCAGTAACGAGTATCCGAATAATTTAACAAAAAATGGCAATTAAAAGGAGTGCATAAAAACTAATATCAAATGCAACTGTAAATACAAAAATTAATTTTGTTAGACATTACCCAGTAAAAGACTGCGTACGGGATACATAGAATGGTTTTAAAAATAAGGACGACAGCTGCAAAACTTATTTCCACTATGCTATTAATTTTCCTTTTAGCGCGATTATAATAATAATAGCTAATAAGTAGCTGCTTTAGCGAACTTTAGACATTTAAAAAAAATCCAAAATTCCATATTATAATTATAGCTTTTTTATTAATAAGTTTTTCTTTCCCTGTATTTATTACTTGAAATGTATGGATTTTTTAAAACACAATGATATCTAATAATGGTATGTAGTTATTTTAGTGAATATTTTTCGTATGGTTTCATTAATAACTTGTAATGTTTGCCGTCTTAGCGCGCCCGAGCCTCCGCGGTGATAAATTAATAGTTAGAATTTCTGGCATTTGAGATTGACAATTGTGGTGTGGTTGCGCAGGTATTTTATCAGTATTACCCCTGAATTTGGCCGGTAACGGTAACGTGATGGCCGTGCCCAGTGGCAGCGTGGACATGTCCTCCTTGGCCGCCGGCACCACGGTGATCATGACCCAGGACGGGCAGCAGTTCCTCATTCCCGTCTCCCGTAAGCATCTCTTCCCTAGTCGGCTATTTTTGCCGTCTTTCCCTATAATTACGCGCGCTGTTGACATTTAATCCCGCACGCTATTAATTATTAAATATTAATATCGCCGGTAAATGGTAATTATTGTCAATTATCCCGGGTAGTGGGCGGCGATTCCTCCTTGAGCACCGGCAGCATGAAGTCGGTCGCCAGCGGATCCTCCGGCAGCAGCGCCGGCAGTCCCTCGCTCTCCGGGCCCAATCTGACGCCGCAGCAGCAGGTCATGGCTGAGGAGGCCGGTCGGAAACGCGAAGTCCGCCTGCTGAAGAATCGGTACGTGGTTTTTCCGTGTTTTATCTCAGGGAAAATTCCAGCCCGTTTTTTTTAAATTTGTTCTGGTGTATTTTACTATTCACTACTGTATTCAGCATTTGTGGTTTTATTATTAATATTTTCCACTATTTTTAAATTCACTAGTTTTTCTCTTTTCATAATTGAGAAACTTACTGAAAACCCATAATGTTTTATACACACGGTAAAATTGCTATTTAATGAATTTAATTACTTACAATTTACTGATTTATTTATGTTTTCACGAGGATTTTTCGCGGAGTTGTGCCGACTATGTTTTATCTGTTCCATGGTTCATTGCGTTTAATCTGATATTTTTGGAATACTATTTTCAGACCGATTGTGTATCGTTTTTGTCTATTTGCGGATTTTTTACAACCTGCAAAAAAGTTCCGAATATTTTAAATCGACAACACCATCGGTAACATCATATATTCAGTTTGATTAACTGGTATGCGAACGACCCGTGCTTTTCTGCAAATCAAATCTTTTGGAGCCCTTGCACTACACAATTCTTGAATTTTAACAGCAACTAGTGTGCTGCGGGCGTTTGTTCCGTTGCTCTGGCAGTCATTGCTGATTAAATTCATTCGCTTTTAGGCTTATAAATTTCATTATTAAAGAATAAGGTTCATAAATATGTGTAGATTAATTTTATTAATATGCTTTGCAAAAACTGACTGTATTGCCTGGCTTCTTTTTTTTAATAAATTAATTGTTTGCGTATTTTATTTAGTTTGTTTGACAGGGAAAATCGTTCGATTTGGAGTTTACAAATTTTATTAATAAAGTACAAATTAATAAATTCGTTAATCATGATTCATTTGTTTAAGAAATTCTGTATTTGACTCTCTGCCACTATTTTGCGTACATTGATTGTTTTACTTAAATTCTTTAGTTTGATTAACAGGGAAGCGGCGAAAGAGTGTCGGCGCAAGAAGAAAGAGTACATCAAGTGCCTGGAGAACCGCGTCGCCGTGCTGGAGAACCAGAATAAAGCCCTCATCGACGAATTAAAATCCTTGAAGGAGCTCTACTGTAAATCCACATCGCACGATTAATCGTTGCGCCATTCGTCTGCATGCTTGTCACATTTCTCTCTTGTTGCCCGTTATTTTCGGTCGGAATCATCCAGGGATCCGCTGTCCGCCCTGATGGACACTTTCATCGGAATTAATTATTGTCTTCGGTGTTTTTGTCGCTGTGTATTGGTTTATTTAACTTCAGTTTGTGTTTGGTATTTCCGCGCGATTATTTATCGGGTGGGAATGGTTTTTATCTGTTCTAATTATTCTTAACCGTTTTTTTTCTGGGAGACTGTTTACCTCTTTACGCGCCGGAAGTTGTTGGAGAGTTTGACGGTGTGCTGGATGTCTTAATGATTTTACCTTCATTCGACAATTCTCTGCTTGTTTTCCTGTCGGTTGATGAACAAAATTGATATAATTCAGGAATTTGGACATTCAGGCTACCGTTAATTAAATGCTTTCGTCGAGGAACACAACACACTCGGCAAACAATTTTCAAGAGAAAATTAGCAGCATTAAATAAATAGTAAATAAATAATTACTATTGTAATTATAATATTCATAAATAATTACTGTAAGTTTGAAATCCAGTGCGATGAATAGGCGGGATTTTCGCTGCTGTGCTGTATACACGTTTTGGTATTACGAGAAAAAAAGTATGTATTTTTTATTTCACGAATGTCGTATCATCGTATGCAAAATTGCAAACAATTTCCCGAAGCCTTGACGAATTCGCTGTCTGCAGGTTATTTTAAAATGTTTGTGTAATTTTTTGAAAAATAAATAAAAAATAATTTTGCATGAAATATAAACGTCTAAATCTCGCGTTAGGTTATTTTATAGGTTTGTACAATAATTATTATGTATTGAAAAATAACCGGAAAATATTTTTGCATCATCGTTGTACCAACGTGGAAATTCGTACATTTGACGCTTAATTACGTACATGAGACATTTGACGCTTAATTACATACATTTGACGCTTAATTACGATTATGCCATTGCACTACATTTTTGGCATGGGTTTTAGTGATTTTTCCCATACGGTCAGGCCCAAAATCGTTTACCGAAGAGAAAAGCTAAAAACGATTTAAATGTGGACATAATCAGCGTTCCATCAGTGTTGATGTTAGACTATTATTAATAAAATCTTTTCATAAGAAAACGCTCAAGTGGAAGCAATCAGCGTTCATTAGAAAAATATATAAGAAAACAGTCACCAAAAGAATCAAGTCGTCTGGAAGCGGAAAAATGTACAAAATCTGGGTTGAAAGGTTTTACACGGAATTAATTTCCCTCAGAATTCTAGTTAATATTAAATTCGATTAATAATGATGTTTTTAGTGTAGGTAAATATATGAGTAAGAAAACCTCGGATTTACGTCACCGTTCGGCACAAGAAAAATACAAAATGGCGATCACGGCTTCGTGAACAGTGAATAAGTTCTAAAGCGCTTACTGCACTGAATTTTTTCCACAACGGATACGCAAAGTGTTTGTGTAGTCTGGGATTTTTGCTGAATGTTCTTTTGTCAGAAAAGAAGGATTTATTTATTCTACCGGTGCAGCAAGCAAATAAGCGTTTCTACTAGAATTAATGAGTCTGCATAATGCCGGTTTCTACCAGGTAGAAACGTAGTACACTGCCATAGAAACGTAGTCTGGTGGATCTTCCAAATGCGGCTGATTAAGAAAAAAATTTGCAATTAATACTTAAAACTTTCGGCATTTTTTTTCTTATTTTATCTGGATGGAAAAAGGAGTGCTGCATGTATTCCTGAATTTTTTGTGAAAAAAATTGTGGTGTGAGAAGCCGGTAATGGCAGAAATTGGGAAAACTCTGCCGGAAAAATTCCGCAGTTAATGTTTAATTTTGTTCAACATTTTTTTCTTCTATTTTCTGGATGGAAAAGGGAGCGCTGCATTTATTCCTGAATTTTAAATAAATAAATTGTGCTGTGGCACGCCGGTAGCGGCAGAAATCCAAGCGCCTATGTTGATCCGCCGGGTTAACAGGCTCTTGGACTCTGGACTGACATTTTATCGAAAATCCATACACCGTGTTCCTGTTTCCCGGACCGAGCGGGACAGGAACGATGCAGTGACACATCCGCTGCATGGGGATGTATATATGGTTAGCGGATGGCCGGCACACGGGTCACGCAGCGCATGGATCATATCCCTCCGTCTGTAAAGAGGTTAGTCATGCCCATTCAGCGCTACACCGGCTCATTTATATATGCACTGCAGAAGAAAGTACAGCCGACCGATTCGATACAGATTGCCATCGATCTGCGCAGGATTATCACAGCACCGCGCCGATTGATTATGTATGGCAGTGTTTTGACGCATCCCAAGCGGTATATATGAATATCGGCGCTGGGTCATCTTTTACGTGGAAGATAGGATAATATCGGTGACGCGCTAAATTTTTGAAAAAATCTACACTAAAGTTGAATTTATAATATTTTTGAATATTTACATTAGTCTGGATTATTCAAAAATTAAATAAAAAATCAAGGTTCTTTTCTAAAGAAGAATAAAATCAAAACAACCGAAGAATTAGAGATGCCGGTAAGGGTGATTACTTCACCAGTTATTTTAGGAAATCAAAAATAACACAATTACATTTAACGATATGCCGCTGCCGAAAATTAAAGAATAATTAATGGTGAACCTGCAATCATTGATATAATTACTAAGCATTTTTCGGGAAGTGAACGGCGGATTATGTTCTCCATAAAACGAACAGAACCGTAAAAATAATTAAACTGTTATAGAAGCCGTATTTGGAGCAGGTATTTTATAAAAAAAGAAAAACCGAAAAATTAAGATAAAAATATTCCCGAAATGACCTTTATGATAGTTTATTTTTTTGGCTTTTTATTAGTATTTAATTTTAAAGTATTTATGTAATTTATCTAATCCGTAAACGCAGAATAAGGGAATGAGCAGGGGATGACGTGCCGCATGATATCATTTTCGCGGCGAAAATTAAAATCGATGCTTTTCGTGTCAAAACTGAGCGCGCAGTATCGATTGCATCCAACTTCACTGGAATGTTACGCGCGGTCCAACCAGCTGTGTGTATATTGGGGGAAAAAGTGTTGTATGCGCTGAAAAGTTGAAGGCGATCGTGAGCGGAAGTCCCTTAGCCGGATGGCGAAGAAGGTGGAGAATGACACTATTGGCTTATAACACACTGCGGCGTATATATTCGTCATTTCGTACAAGTGCGCGCGCCGCTGCAAAGCCGGTTGCGCATCTATATAAATAAAAATTCAGCAGTCATTTGTTTATTCACTGCGGCGGTTTTCCTTCCATTCTGTCGGTTGAATTAAGAGAGATAATTTTTTTATTATTTTTAAAATAATTTGTGTTGTGGCGGATGCCGGTTCTCACGGTGTGTGACGGTGGGAAACACGTGGTTTGATTTAAATGCAACCGGTTAATTATTGACGAGGATAACAAGTGTAGATCCATTACGGCAATCACAGCACTGGCACGTGTGCGTGTTGGACGGGATCATTTGGGAGTGTGTGTGTCAGTCGCCGGGTTTCATTGGATTACTAGCATCGCTGTCACACAATGACGTTTGCTACTGTCAGGTAAAATTCTATATACTTCTGTATACAAATATTTAATTTTTTATTTTTATTTTCGGAATAACAAAACAGTTTGTAAAAATCTACGAACAATAAATCGCGAGAAAAAATAAAATAACGTCTAAGTAGGAAGGAAGGAAATAAAATTCATTTTCGAAATCAGTAAAATTCGTTTATTAATATTTTATCCCCCAGAAATTTGGGAGCACTATTTTGTCTATGGATACACATATTTTTTGTGTTGAATTTCCGTTAGAAATTGGTTGATTTTAATTTTGACATTAAAAATATTGAAAATTCTAGAAAAAACTAGATCAGAAAAAATAACTGGTAAAAAAAACGAAATTTAAAAAATTATTATTAGCAAATTAAAAAAAATTTAAAAAGTTATAATTAGCATCGCTAAAAGTTTTTGCCTTCGAGAATTCAGGACAGCTGTTTTTCCGCGGGCGAAAAATTTTCTGGAAATGAATTTTTATTAAGAATCCGCGGTATAATCATTTTTGTCACTCTCTCTTGCTAAATTTCCATAATCGATTGCCTGTTCGATTTTTGGCCATTTTTGATGTTTGAAAATGGGCAATATCTGTCCCGCGCTGTACATAACGGGCATGGGAACCAATATTGTGATCTGCACAAATATTAACCGCGTTGAAAATCAAATTAGCCGGGCCATGCTCTTACAACGGGAAATATATTTTCTTCACATATATGTCAACCGGCAAATATTTTTAACTCACTGCCGTGTATATATAAATGCCCCGCGCGCAGGAAACCGCGTTGTATGTAGTACAGTGGCTGCGCAGGGGATTATTTATTCGGGCCGCGTGATATCCGCTCATCTCGCTCTCTCTCATCGCTCTTTTCCCATCTTCACCATTTTCCTACGTTATTGAGCGTGGATTTTATTGGTGTGAAAATGGCTTTTAGCTTTTCAGGTCACGAGTGCCGGCGTTTTAGGCATTCTGTGTGTATATATAAAAAAAATGCTGTAACAGATTTTTGCGGTGTATAGCTGGACAATTAGCCGGCGCTGTACAACCGGGGAGAAATTAAACGCTGTTCGTTGGCCTGTATTCTCTAATCGGCAATGCGCGATGGAGCGGCTGACAATGTCCACTTGTTTTCCTGGTGCGGGGTTTAGATTATATTGTCGTGTATATTGATTAAGTCATCTGTCATTTTTCCGCTTAAACGCGATGCTGACTTTATGGTAATCGAACATCTTGAGGGTGATTTAGTTAGAATTAAATGCAAATAATCTATGCGTCCTGCATTTCAAGGATTTCTCGTGGTTGTTACAAATTGGATACTATTTGCTGCGTTCGAACGTAATTTAATTTATTAATAAAATCACAAAAATATTTCCGTTTAAATTTAAAAAAATTCCAAAACTTGACGCTATGTGAATCTTATTTGCGGAATTATAGTTATGTCTGCTCAATTACAAAGGTCACTTTGCGGCAAAAAACAAGGTTTCCTTACTTTATCTGGAATTTTCGCTAATTCTCAATTCTTTCGCAATTTTTCTTATAAAAATAATTGATTTTTGTGTAAAATTAAACCAAAAATTAGTTCAGTCAAAAGGTCACTTTTGCATTGAGAAAACGAAATTTTGTTTTTATACAAAATTTTTTTGAATTTTTCTGCTCGATATTTTTTGCAGTAGTAATATATTTTAAGGCAGAATTTATTTATCGGTTGAAAAGGACACTTGGCATAAAAGAAATACAATTTTTTTATCGTATAAAATCAACCCGGAATTTTTGCCGAAATTTCCTGTTTGAAAATTAGACATTTTCCCATGCAAAAAATCGTTTTAAAATTAACATTGCCGCGAGTAACCCGCGCATATTTCCGGCGGTGTTCCGTTTCGCCTCTGTGAACGGTAGATATTTGAGTAGCGGCAATTAGTCGCCGCGTGTATATCGGGCCTGACTTGCATGTATATACAACGCGGGGGTAAATATTATAAAAAGGAATACGACGGAACATGACAGACAGTTGGCGCGGTACCCCGCATAAATTAAATATAAGCGCATTATATTTGCGTACACTCATTTTTCCCGGCTCACCCGCTCATCCATCAAAAACAGCAGCAGTGTCACATGTGCAAGTTATATACATATAAATGCATGCATGCATGTCCTACTCTCGGCCGATCAAACTGAAAGCAGCTGGCCCAGCGTGGTTTTGTTTATATGGGTTTTTTTCTCTTCAACACTGATTTATCGTCGGGTGTGCTTTTTATATTATGGAGAAAGCCGCACGCTGCCACTGGCACTTCCGTTTTGGCAGCACCCGGCGATGAACACAAATTAACAGTACATTCACGAGGGAAAATGGTCCAGCGACGCCCGTGGATATTTTTCATGTCCCACACATTTGTAAGAATTTTACGGCCATTTACTGCGGAATTTATTTTTATTTCCCTTCAATATTATACAGCAAAAGTATTTACTATAATTGCAATTATGAATTATACACGCAGTTTTTAGAATTATTTCACTATATTTTTTATGCGGTATTTTTATCCAAATTCACACAAATGCGTTAACCGCAAAAATAGGGAGTAATTCCAAATTTTTTTGCCGAAATTTGATCGAAAAAATGTTTTTTATATTATTGCCTTATTTTCATCAAACAAATCTGCTTGGTTTTACAAGAGAATAATCCTGAAATTGGGAATTGCTTGTTATAATTTTTAAAAAATTTCCCAGTTAAGTCTTACTCGTTTTTAATAGCGAGGGAAATAAATAAAGTAAGGAATTATTTGTTATGATTTGGCATATGTTTATTAGCAAGAATAGTAAATAAAGAAATTACCTGTTCTACATTATTTTAATTCGATAAATAAATCCGGATTATTTTGAGCCGCGAGAATATCAAATAAAAAAGAATTATCACTTATATTTTATTTTTATTCGATAAACAAATCTGGTTTATTCAGCGGCAAGAAAATCAAAGAATATATATGGTGCTATTTATTTCAGAAATGAATATTTTTCAAGTGGCCCATATAAGCGGCATTCACGCCGGATTAAAAGTGCGAAGCGATACATGCGGTTTTTTAATCCCCGGTCTCATTACAAACCGGCCCGCTTCGTAATTATTATATACCGGTCGCTGTGTGTCCATTGAAAACCGCCGGTGCTGTTGTGAAGTGGATGTCATTGGTTACAATGGACAACAGTATTTAAAGCGACACGTGCTCATTCAGCACAACACAGTATTATTGCGCATTGAAACCCGGCGCCGGATCAATGCAGTTGTCGATGGGCAATGGATGCCGCGGCTATATTACCGTTTCACCGCTCCACTGCGTTTCCATAGAAAAAGGAAGCCGGGTTTTCCATGGCCCGAGCATCTATGCAAATCATGCGTTGTGTGCTTGTATGGTGTTTGCTAAGGATTTGCTGCATTGAATTTCCGGCGCGATTGTTGTCCGCTGGAGCCGCACGAGTGGCTGGTCATTAATAGCGCATATTATGGATTATTTACCGGCGCTCTAATTTTCCTCCGTTTCACGATCAACTAAATTATTTATAAATTTTATTTTATTTATTTTAATTTTCGGGAGTTTACAAAATAAAGAAAAATTATGTTTACAATTATTTTTTATCTTTTCAGATATTTTAAAATTAATTCCGCCATTCTAGATTATTTTATTTATATGCAGATTCTATTTTTACTTATTTAAATAATGGGCTTTTTTTAAAAGTTAAGAAAAAATATGTCTACTAATAGTTTTCATCTTTGAGCTTAATTTTACTAAAATTCACTATTTTACATACATAAATCGGAGAAAACAACAGCGCAAAAATTAAACTGAATCTTTGTCACATACTGTCGAAAGTAACGAAAACGGACGCAGAAATTGGAAAATTATTAAAGAAAATCAGGAGAATCAGTTCTGAAATTATTTGTCTATTTTACTGCCAATAATGACGGGTTGGAGCGCTGATCACGACCGACAACGCGGAGAATCTCAAGTGAATAAATACCGGGGTTGAACAAGGTTAAAACTAGCCTAATTGAACCATTCTTCCTCCGCATAATTCCCCCTCCACATTTTCATAACATGAAGGGAAGTGAGCGGCGCTAATCTAAACAGATATATTTTGCTTATGTGCTGCGGTGGTGATGAGGACGCTGCCGGTTGTCGTTCTGGGTGGATGTAGAGAGGCCCAGCTCTTGTTATGTACACTTACTTGTCTGTACGCATAATTGATAGATGACTCCGCACAACTCCGTCCCGCGTTGATTCCCCGGGGATGCTAGCCCCGGCGCAATCAGCCGCCCCGCCGCTGCGGCACCTGCTACAAAGGTCAATACTGCCCTACAGCGATATACGAAAGGTCATCCTCAAATATATTAGAACTAAAGTCATAAAAATGTGGAATACAAATATATGAGAAATATAATTAAAAATTAAATAATTATATGCTTGGTTTTAACGCGTATTGCGCAAAGAAGCACTTCTCTGTTCAAACCCGGTCTTGGCGATTCATGCGCACTGGATGTGTTCCTGTTGCACTTTGTTTGTTGACTTATTATTTAAATCTTGAACCGTGAACCGGTTGATCAGTTTTCCGCATTTTTAGTTGTACTTTGTACAAAAGGTCACCTTAATAATATTATTATTATTATGCATTGTATAATTTAATACACGTAAAAGTACAAAAATTACTTCCAATAAATCAAAAAAGAATATATTTATTAATATTTTGACAGAAAAATTATTTTTATTAATAAATTTTTGAACCGATTTCCTACTTTCAGCCTTATATTGTGCGAAAGGTCACGTTTATATTATGCAACGCATTGGCGAAAAACTATTCAATTAAACATACGTGCATATTGCATAATGAAAAAGTGGGTATTCTTGGCGGTGACCTTTAGGGTCAAACCGACGAACGGACAGACTGTATTGAAAGTGTATTATTGGCGCACACATCACATGCGGGACGCAGCGGGCGGCGGTGTAAGTGGATGACGCAATA